TTTGGAGAGGTTTTTTGCTATAGGGCACGTGCGCTCGCCAGACAGACAGAGACAGAAAGCGAGAAATGACCCCCCAGGGGAGATGGCCACGCCGCAATCCCTTCTCCTCCATTCTTCTCTCGGGATCTTGGGCACGCTTGCACACGCGCCCGGTGTGAGTTTTAAGCCACCGGGTCCAGGACACGAACCGCGGTCAACTACGTGGGAGTCCAGCGACATAGCCATTACACCAACTGCTGGTCCCTCCAATAAGATATTTTTAAGAAATTATCTTATGTGTAAGCTAATTGGTAAATGTTAAGTCACCTCCCTCTAGAGATCAGCAAACCTCTTGCTTTTACTAACATTTTAGTGTATATAAATATTAATAATTCAAGCACATGTTTGTTTATATACATATCCCTGTGTCCCATTATTTTCTCTTTCAAGAAAGATAAAAGTTACATGTAGACATAGACTACATAGGAGGGGAGGATGTTGGTTCATTTTATAAAATAAGTTTTTGTCAACTTTGCATCAGATTCACACTCAAGAACCAGAAGTTGTTGTGTAACATTTTTCTGAATGTCATTCACCACAAAAGTATTTGCAGATATGTTCCATCTTGTCTCTTCTGTCCTAAAAGATGTATGCTCCAAAGGAAGTTACTCAGCAAATATAAGTGTCCCAGCGATGTGAATGATACATAACCAGGCCCGAGGCCACAATCTTCTGTGCCTAAAAACAAAACCACTCAACAGCATAGTCTGGAAATAGCCAGCCTCTGTGGAAGAGCCAATGGAGAGGTGTGGGTGCCAGTAAAGGGTAGGGCTGGAGGCTGAGCTTTCTAAAGGGCAGAATACACCCTGCCACCTGATGGTGACCTTATGGTTTTATCGAACACCCAGTCACCTTTAAAAACAAAAAATTCCAGGTTGAAATGAGATTAAGTTCATAGTTGTGCCTATCAAGGTAATAGCAAAGTTGGAGCCAGAGAAACTATCATCTTATTTATTTCTGTTATTCCTTCACCAAGAGGCTCTCTGGGGTTGCTACTTTATAGGACAGGGCTAGCTGCATGGCTTCTTGGTGTTGTACTGCACAGTCTTGTGCTTTTAGACCTTAAGGAGTCCCACCAGCTTTCCTCTGCCTGCTCTGTCTTGTATGCCTCTAGACCGTCAGCCACTTGGGTGGTCTGCAGGTTGTTAACTTGCTTCCCCCTCACATATCTAGCCTAATGTGGAGTCCCACCACTTACTGTCATCACAGGAGATTATTATCTGTTGTTCTCTCAGAGTCCCCACTTCTGACCACTGTGGCTTGTACTTCCTGTCTACATATCTGATGTGATTCTCAGGGCTCAGTTCTCCTGTGGTCACCACCCAGTCCTGCGCACTGTGGATCAGAACCATAGATAGAAAACTCTCCCTATTCCCTTATTGCCCACGCCCATGAGACCTTCCAGGAACAATTTCTAACAATCTAACAATCACATGGTCACGCCCTTCCCTGAGCTGCTTCAGCTGCCTATACTCTTCGTCTTTCCAGCCCAGCATGCCCTGCCTTCTTCCTTTCCACATCCTGTATCTTCTAATTTTTCCAAATTTAGAAGCCACTTCCTAACTAGTTGAGTGAGAGTGTAGGATTCTGGTTCTCACACCACGCTTTTGGCTCCTAACCTTCAGCTTCCCAGCAGACCTCATATAAAAGATGAAAAATGCCCTTTCATCTGATGGCAGCAAATCAGTTTGACCCTGACTGTCTACACAACTTGCGAAGTGAATGGTACTTTTTAAAAAATGGCATATATACTGAATTCTTTCATTTCACCATATCTGTCTGCTAGTTCAGCTTAGTGCAGCACAAATTCCAGAGGCCGGATACTTTAGTGTAAGGATCCCCGAGTGGAGTTGGAAGGCTTGGGCTCTGACCTATGGTGTTTTGCTCATTGGCTTTTCAGACTTGGACAGATCCTTAAGTTTCCAAGCATCAGTTCCTTTGTACCTAAAATGAATCATCATCACAATTGCCCTAAGCTTAGTGTAGGTGATGAAATCAAGTGACATATAATAGTGTAAGCTTCGTTTTCGGTTTTCTTTTGGATTATAAATCCCTGGATTACAGAGGTCATGACTAACTCAAACAGCATCTTTAGTGCATGTCAACTGGAGTGAAACAAATGATAATGATCATTTTCTTCCTAACATAACTTTAAAATCTTTGCTTTTTATCTAGGTCAATGCTGGCCCACTAGCATATGCGCGAGCTTTCTTAGATGACATGAACACAAAAAGATATCCTGACAATAAAGTGAAGTTACTTAAGGAAGTTTTCAGGTAAAGCACACAGAAAATGTTGATTATTTTTATGCGCATTCACCAAAGAGATGCTTAGTTGGATCCAGTCTTTATCCTCTGTGCGCCTTTATTTCCCTTTCCTACACCATGGCAGGCAATTTGTGGAAGCTTGCGGTCAAGCCTTGGCGGTAAATGAGCGTCTGATTAAAGAAGACCAGTTAGAGTACCAGGAAGAAATGAAGGCCAACTACAGAGAGATGGCCAAAGAGCTTTCTGAAATCATGCATGAGCAGGTGAGGGCCACGCTTTCTGTTCGACAGCTTGGAGCTCTTCTTGTTTAGGAAATACGGATTAGCTGGAGCCTCACATACACCCTGTACTGACCAGAGCTTCTATATCCTGCCTTCATGCTGAAGGAAATGTAGCGCACCACGCTCCTGCTGCTCTCTAGCGCGTTACTTGGGAATGGCCTGTTATCACTGTCTAACGCAGCCAGTGGGTGGGAGGAGCAGCAGTACCTCAACATGACTTACTGAGAGGCGGCTATGTCACATGAGCTTTGTTTAAAAACAACCTCGCACACACAAAAAAGAAATACCCAATTCTTTGGAAGAACAGGCCCTACCAGCCTGGTTTAAGGAATTACCTGTTGTATCAGCTGTCCTCTGCCACTTAAAATTATAGGGTTATTGGTTGGCCTTGCGGCCTAGTAGCTAAGAGCTGGAACCCTCGTGGCTAATGGTGGCTCAAATTCTGGCCCCCGTGGCTTGAAAAACACCAGGTGTGTGTGCCTGTGTGTCCCAAATCCCAACAGGATGGAGAAATGGAAGAGAAGAGATTGTGGTGTGACCACACCCCATTGGAGGATGCTCTCTCTCTGTCTCTCTGAGGCAAGCCCGCATATCCTCTATTTAATTTTTAGTTTCCTATATGAACTTCCTCAATGGGATTCTGTATGTGGTTTCAGTAGTCATCAGAAGGGACAGCTGACCAGGGTCCCAAATGGATGTCAAAGAGCAGCACCCGTTCTCCAAAACTACAGCGACTTCTTCCAAGTCTGTCCCAGTGTTTATGACTAATGTTGGCACCTTGGTAACACATTCCTTGTTCTGTCCATTCCCCACGTTTTTGTCTTTCCATCTTGGAACTGCAAACGGAAGCCAGGTCCAATTGTATCAGTTATCATGTGATGATTTAGTTAGGAAATTTCCATTGTGTGAAATGAACTCCAGTGACTGAAGGATGGAGAAATGGAAGAGAAGAGATTGTGGTGTGACCACACCCCATTGGAGGATGCTCTCTCTCTGTCTCTCTGAGGCAAGCCCGCATATCCTCTATTTAATTTTTAGTTTCCTATATGAACTTCCTCAATGGGATTCTGTATGTGGTTTCAGTAGTCATCAGAAGGGACAGCTGACCAGGGTCCCAAATGGATGTCAAAGAGCAGCACCCGTTCTCCAAAACTACAGCGACTTCTTCCAAGTCTGTCCCAGTGTTTATGACTAATGTTGGCACCTTGGTAACACATTCCTTGTTCTGTCCATTCCCCACGTTTTTGTCTTTCCATCTTGGAACTGCAAACGGAAGCCAGGTCCAATTGTATCAGTTATCATGTGATGATTTAGTTAGGAAATTTCCATTGTGTGAAATGAACTCCAGTGACTGAGCTTTAACTCACTTGCTTTTTTTCTCTTCCATGCTAACATGTTCAGATGGGATGGTAATGTCATTTTTTCATTTTATTTTTCTGCTAAACTAATTCACGTAAACTAACTCACAGAAAGTTGTTACTGAGTTGAGCAACAGCATATATTGGCGTAATGATGATACACTTGTGAAGGAAAGAAGCCCTCTTCTGGACATTTTTAAACGTAGAAAATAAAATGGAAATGATTAGAGAAATGAGAATTTGAAAAATTAAGCCAAAAAGGGGCTCATGGGAACAAAATTTTGAAAAGCAACTTGAGATCTTGTCCTTGGAGCCTTTGGATTTCTATAGAATGGGGAGCTTGCTGCATGGGTGCCAGCGTTTGGCACCAGAAAAGATGAAAATCAAAAGAAATTACAGGCTGAAACTATCAAACTCCCAGACCGTACAGACATTTACTGAAGTGCTTTCAACTGAGCCTTGAACTTCCCATTATGTCTACAGCTCTGCAGACGGAGCCCTTTTGAGACCTTAAGGATAAAGGGCTGTGACCTAGGGCAGGCTTGCTCTTGGTTTTTCCAGGGGAGCCCCTGTGCGTTCTGTTCTTCCAAGTCTCCCCCTGGCCAGAGGTCAAGCCGTAGCCTCATGTTCTTTCCAGGTGCCACTGGGTATGAAAGATACTTGCTCAGAACTTGAGGGGGTAGCCACTCTCACTTTTCCAGGATAGAAATCTGTGAGTCTCTGAGAAAAAGAACCAGAAGAGAAACACAGATGTTCCAGAAGTCACTTTAAAAGGCTTTTCAGGGAACAAGGCCAACTTGTGTCCCGATCAAGTCTGTGTAAGAGAGAACTAAGTTGCCGTATGATCTGGCGAGTCTAGAAGGCTCCATATTCACTAACGTGTAAAGGAAACAAAACATTATTCTTGCCTTTCTCCTGAAAGCCTGGTCTGGAAAAGCTCATTTATAGATAAGCTGAAAGAGTCTGTCTCTACAAACCCCCAAACCCCCAAAGCCAAGCTGTCCGGGCACGGCTTTGTCCATGGTAATAGAATGACTATTCGATGACAAGTGTGCATGGCATGATATGCACCATTTTGAAAAGGATTTATTTTGGAGCATTACACTTGGGTAATACTGTGTTTCTGTGCCTCAAGATTTGTCCCCTGGAGGAGAAGACGAGCGTTTTACCAAACTCGCTTCACATCTTCAACGCCATCAGCGGAACGCCAACAAGCACCATGGTTCACGGGCTGACCAGCTCATCCTCAGTTGTGTGATGGCGCCTCGCGGACCTTGTGTGGAGACTCGCTTTGTCGTTTGCAAACTCAGGATGCATTCCATTTCCAAAGCTCATCACTGGGAAGACCAGGCACAGGGAGAAGCTGAGGGAAATGGCAGAGAACGGAAAGAAAGAACTCTGTTACTTCATAGCAGGTTTTCTATAGGAGGCAAAGAGGGCGCACGTATTTTTTTACATCTCACTGGTAATATTCAGAGTTTTCATTGTGTCTTAACAGAAGTGTGTGGTGGACACTCTTAAGCTGGGGTTAAATTTTATTCTTCCATACAGAGTAGTATTAAAATAAATGGCCTAAAGAAAAAAAAGTGTTCTGGAATGTATATAGCCGGGACAGAAGCACTGAAATTGAGGCCGGGAGGATCTTTTTGCCTCTAGGCTAAGCTGGAAAATCTTGAAAATATTTTTTTTTTTCCTGTGGCACATTCAGGTTGAATACAAGAACTATTTTTGTGACTAGTTTTTGATGACCTACGGGAATTGACCATTGTAATTTTTGTACCTGTGAATCAGGAGACTTAGTGCTTTTATACTCATTTCCTTGCACTTAAAAATATGAAAGCTTAAAAGAAACTATGTGAGCTCGAAACTAGTCAAATGATTTAGAACCAAAGGCCTGTATTAATAAACACAACTATGCTCAAAAGTAAAAACGTAGCACAGTATACCGTTATGTACATAGGGTTTGTTAATACAGTCCCGGCGTTCTGTACAGACATGTGTTACATTTCTACGTTTTTATTAGGCACATCAGCTTCTGCATAGAGTTTAAGAGCGTGACAGGTTTGTGCTATTGTTAGTATATGCAATACGCTTGACTTTACTGTTTTATTCTTGTACATAAAAAAGTGCAATATGGAGGTGTATACAGTCTTTGCTATGTTAGGTTTATAAACTGTTTTAAAAACGTCGTCCTTTTGCCAAAATGGTGGAGTATGTAATTGGTAACTCATAAATTCTGTGGTGAATGGTGGTATAATTTAAAGCTTTCACCATGTTATATTTTCTTTTAAGACATTAATTTAGTAATTTTATATTTGGGAAAATAAAAGTTTTTAATTTTATTTAACTGGAATCACTGCCCTGCTGTAATTAAACATTCTGTACCACACCTGTATTAAAATAACATTGCTGATTTTCCGGTAGTGTGTACTGGGTGTTTGTTGTTTGCCAGCTGTAAGAATGGCAGAAGAATGAAATATTTGGAGGCAAAATAATGTGATATCTGAAATTTTCTTTCTAATACTTGAAAAATAAGAGAAGGTGGATCGATAAAACAAGATAGAGTGTTGGTGTTGGCAAAGTGGAAGTTGGTTACACAGGGAACCATGCCAGTTTGTCTGCTTTTCTAGATGTTTCCAGGATACACATTTCCGAAGGCAGGCCTAGGGGTCATGTTTTCCACAGGACTTGAGTGAATGCTTTGTTGTACCATGGACCAGCTCTGAATGGCATACTAGATATCCCCAAGCACACGTAGACAACTTACTGCTTCTGGTGCAGAAGGGAAAAGAAAAACGCTTCTTCAAGTGTATCCAGGCTGCTCTCCATGCCACCTCCCCTCCTCGCTCTTCACATAAATACTCTGGGATTTATCCCAGCAATGCGTAGGCGGCCACATGCGCACACACCCCGTACTCCACAGCGTCACGAACACTTACCTGGGTCATGCGACAGCCTGAATTGCAGGTGCTGATCCTGCTTCTGGTGTGCCCGGTGGCCCCAGTAGGTGAGTCACCCGGCCCCGTAAAGTCTCAGTGATGGAAGGAAGAGGGACTCTATAAGCAATAGCACATCTGGTGGTTCTACCTGAAGAGTTGTAAAGGCTGTCTTGTTGGGTGACCAGTTAAGGAAAGAAAAGGTGTCATAGTGTGTGCTTCTTGATCACCTGGTAGCCAAGGAGCTTCTGACATCTGAAATATTCTCTACCTGTCAATGGTTAGGAAAAGAGGTCTTGAAGAACAAGTGAGGGGACGTGGTAAAGGGTCATGCCATCTCCCCAGTGTCGGATAGCCATCCAGCTTAGGGTTTAATAAACCTCAGTACAGGGGAGCCAGGTGGTGGCACAGGGACAATACTACTGGACCCTGAGCACACTGGGCACTCCTGCCCATGATCCAGGCTGGCCCAGACGCCCAGAGGGGTGCCTGCCTCCTTTTCTCTCCATAAATAAAGAAGTTTTCAAAAAGAATAAGAAAAATATCAATATAGATTTGCCTTGAGTCTCTGACGTCCCACCCCAATGTAATAAACCTTGACTCTAACATTATCGGGGTTGGGTATAAAAGTCTGAGGCTGAGCTGGATTTTCTAGCCATAAGTGCCTTGTTTAGAAGCCGTAAAGTTCAAGTCACCATATAGTAAAACCAATAAAAGTCTAGGAAGAGTCCATGTCAGGTAAAATTAAGCTCAGAAGGTAGACAGCCCTCACTCATTACGACAGTAGAGAAAGGAATTATCTCTAAGTCCAGGACATCGACACTGATTCTGCAGTGAAGCACATATGTTTCCATTAAAAGCCTTAATTAGTTCCTACACAGATAACATATACAATACGTATAAAATCACATTTTAATGTAGCAATTTCTTGGGAAATTCTTTTATTGCTCTGTTTTAGTAAATTTGGGGGATGTTCCTATAGATCCTACTTATTTTTTTAATTGAGGTAAAATATTAATTAAAAATGTACCATTTTAGGGCCAGCAGATGGCGTAGTGGTTAAGGTGTTAGACTCTCACATGGCCAACCGCAGTTCAAGTTTCGGACACAGCAGCTTGAAACACACCAGACATATGTGCATGCATGCCCAAAATCCTGAGGGGAGAATGGAGGAAAAGGGATTGCAATGTAGCCATCCCCTACGGGGGGGGGGGGGGGGGGGGTGTTCCCACTTTCTCTGCCTCTCCAGTAAGCACACGTACCCTATAGCAAAAACTTATCCAAAAAATAAATAAATAAATAAGTATCACTGTTTTAAGTGTATAGTTTAGTGGCATTAGGTGCAGTCACATTGTATAACCATCACTCACCTCCACAGCTTTCATCATCTCAGATAGAAACTCTGTACCAGTTTTTGAGGTGAGTTTAGAATTAAAACCCTAGTCAGTACCTTACCCAGGGATATTGGCTACCTGGGAACTAATTGCCTCTCAGTAGTATACATAAATAAAGCCAGCCTGCGTGCACGACGGCTTCTGAAAGTAAGTGCACAAAATTGAAAAGTAAATTGTGATGTGGTGGAAGAACACTTACCATGGGGTCTACCTTTTTAACAAGTTTTAAATGAACAATAATAGTATGTTGTTAACTGTAGGCCAAAACATTTTTGAAATTATTACCTGAAGGAAGGGAGAGGGAATTATGCATAGGGTCAGCCTTAAAAGATAGACTTGTCTAGTGTTGTTTGCCTTTTAGATTTAGCCTTAGAACCATGTGAATACTTACATCATTATTAAAATGAATTTTTAATCTCTAAAAACTGAAAGGAAAATGAAATAAATGAACCTAATGATATATCAACTTGGTAACAATACAAAAATTTTTTTAAGCAACTTTAAAAATACAGGAATCTCCCTGTGCATTCTTAGTGGGATATACCTTAAGGACAGGAAGAACGATAAGGGGCCCATCTGTGGTAGGGCGTACTGGTAGATGCTGCTCCTCAGCAGGCCGAGGGCACATGGGCGTGCTAGCCGTGATTCACAGCCCACAGCAGAAAGCCAGGTTGGCACATGGAAGTTCACAACTACTTGAGAGGCTAAGGTAAGAGGATTGCAACATAGCAAGACCCTGCCTGACTTTAAAAACTGGGTAATAGATGATTGATTGATTGATAAGCAAACAACTTTTTCAGTAATTTGTTGGGGGAGGGATTGTTGGTATTTTGTTTTGGCAGTGGGGTTTTTGTTTTGGTTTGTTTATTTTGTTGTAGGGCTTGTATCCTCACTAGAGAGAGACAGAGCGAGGAAGAAAATGAGAAAGACCCCCTCCCGCAGTGGGGGTGGCCATGCTACAATCCCATTTCCTTCGTTCTCCTCTTGAGATTTTGGGGATATAAGCACATGTGCTCAGCATGTTTCTCAAACATCCAGGTCCAGGACTCAAACTGTGCAGTTAGCTAGGTGGAGTCCAGCTGCCTTAATAACCATGCCACCAACTGGCCCTCAGTAATTACTTTGTTTGTGGAAGTGTTACATATGTAAGACTTTACTATTATTCAGAAACCATTTTATGTTTATTTCTAGAGAAATTATACTTAGGTTGATAGCATTTGGAGCCAGGTTTTTGATGCGGGAGAGAAAAAAGATGCATCTATGAAACTAAAATTAAAATATATATATTACATACAATTTTTTATATACAATTTTTTGGAGAGGTTTTTGCTATAGGGCGTGTGCACTCACCAGAAAGACAGAGAGAGACAGAAAGACAGAAAGTGAGAAATCACCCCTAGGGGGAGGGATGGCTATGCTGCAATCCCTTCTCCTCCATTCTCCTCTTGGGATCTTGGGCATGCACACACATGCCCCTGGCATGAGTTGAAGCCACCAGGTCTGGGACTCGAACCACAGTTGACTACATGAGAGTCCAGCAACGTAGCCATTACACCATCTGCTGGTTCCAATTATATACATTTTTAAAGATATTTTTGCTATAGGGTACATGCACTCATAGGAGAGACAGAGACAGAAAGCGAGAAATCACCCCCCAGGGGGGATGGTCACGTCACAGTCCCTTCTCCTCCATTCTCCTCTTGGGATCTTGGGCATGCACACACATGCCCCTGGCATGAGTTGAAGCCACCAGGTCTGGGACTCGAACCGTGGTTGACCATGTGGATATCCAACAATGTAATCATTATACCATCTGCTGGTCTCAACCAAAGGGTTGAGTTAAAACCCTTTAGTTCTCTATTTGATATGGAAATATCAGTTTAAGCTTATGATATATTTTGTCTTAAATACATTTATTTCCTAGCTTGATTCGCTAGAAAAGCCTGTAAGTAAGGACTACCCAGAAGTTAGCACCCTTAGTGCCCAAATTATGGCCCCTAAATACCTTTTCTACCAAAAGGGACAAGAACACCATGGAGAATAGCTGATTCCAGATTTAGACAGAAAATGTACAAGAGGAGCCCAGTGTCTTTTCACAGCACACATCGAAGGCACTGGCAGAGACACCTGGGGTCATGTTAAAAGATTTAAAGAGGTGACCATTTCATAATATAAGATATAGGATAGTGAGTGACAATACAGTCTTGAAATTTCTAAGAGAGCAGATGAAAGTGTTCTTACCACAAATGTTGCTGTGTGAGGTAATGCGTATGTTAATGAGCTAGAGTTAGTCATTCCTCAACTGCATATATACTTCAAAATATCATACTGTATTTTGTATAGTTTCATCTGTTATTGAAATTTATTTATTTATTAGAA